TATTATGTATTACACTCCTAGAATTAGAATTACCACTACTAATGAATTTGAATTTGTAATTTCTTATCCAGTGCATCACTTCTTGAGATTCCATCACCATTCCACTCTTATCCGTTTGGACTAGAATAAATATTTGGCGTGGCGATTCGTAGGCTTTCCAAACCGGTTTGATCATTCTTTCTAAATCACCCGTTTCATCTTTACAAGTCATGATCTCATCTTCAAGTTTACTCGCTGCTTCTCTATAACCCTTTGTTATCTGGCGACAGGAGGAACTTGTAAAGTAGTGATTTCCCAAACTGTGAACTAGTAAGAGGAGAGCGATATTGCACCCTATCAAGACAAGGCCAATAATTGTTATATAGAGATTCATTTTTATCATCGGTTTCGTTATCCAATAATCAACTTGTCCTAAAACCATAGATAAATAATTTATTTATTAAAAATTTTCTAGTCTGCTACATTTTTCAATTGCTCAATTAGTATATTTGTCATCCAACCACCTCTGATACCTTGCCCCTGTGGGCTGTTCTGTCGAATACTCAACAATAATCTTTTAAAGTCTCATTCTTATCTAAAAACACCACCTCCTTATCTAAAGCGAATTTCATCGAATTCGTTCTTCCGTCTCTGGAGAAGGGCTGAGCAGACACAAGCGACACGGCCAACCTAACATTACTATTATATGCATTACTTGTAACAGGCGCTATGTAGTAGATAAATATCACGACGACATATTCTTCATAATTACGATTATTAACAATATTGTATACTTCACCAATGTTTAATGCTACAGAAGCGTCAATAGGATCGACGCTTTTTATCTGGTCCATATTCATAGGATGACCAGGATACCCTTTACCTCTAATTGTGTTCACGATATTATCTGCCTCGTCGTTCACTATGTCGAATACCCTCATCTCTGGTGAGGAACAGCTGTTAATGAAAAAATTGCCACCTTTTTTCTTTCTTATTGTGGGGTACTCGTGATGTTTTCTCTCAAAAGACATTCCAGTATGATCCGTTCTTAAAATAACTGACGTTGATTGTAGGTCGTCTGGGTCATCATCAGTAATATTATATCTTGGCAGATTATGTTTAATAATGTCCAGTTTACTCGATAGCATAGTTAGTTTCTCCTTATTGGAGCTCACGGCATGATAGCTTATTAAAATATAGAATATGACAAGAATATAGATAATAGCGAGTCCTGCTAGAATAACTATTGTTATTTTGTCCATTTTACCCAATGATCTTATTCTGTATTAATTATTTGAGTATATATTCATAATAAAAATTATTTACAATTTTAGTGTAACAAAATCGTCTTAACAATTCCTAATAAAATCCTACATATATTACACTACAAGAGTATCGATGATAGCGAGTCTTATTAGAACAAGTATCGTTATGATATCCATTTACCTTTTTTTTTAAAGTAATAATATTGTTTTAACAGATTCTATAAATTCCTGCGCTGACGACCACTGTCAATGTACTGTTCTGACGATTCCTTTCTATCTCGCCAAAAGCGGTCTTGTTGGACGCGATAGAGTCTCTATAATTATGGTCTTAGGTGGTGTTGAGATGAAGAAGAGTCTGGTATGGTTTGGTAGAGTCTTCCAGTAATCTTCGTCAATGATGGTTTCATCAAACAATGTTACCTTTATAGAACTTGTATTTTTTATGCCCAGTTTTGCCGCACCTTTTTCTATGAAATCCTGGAAGCTCTCGGCTACGACTCCGTAACGAAGTTTGCGGTCTGCTGACCAAACTTTAATCGCCTTCCTTTCCATTATGTTTTGTTCTGTTCTTTTACATCAATCAGTTACATCTTATACACATATATCTATGTATATTGTTTATGTTAACTCTCACGAATAGAGAAAATTCCAAGATTATCTTTTTTCCTTTAATTTTTTGTCGATTTCTGAGGAGTTTCTTTATAGTCAGTCTATCTGTTTGTCTGTAGTTAGATAGACAACAATGACATTTATCTGATTGTATTCTTGTCATGTACGACAAATGATTGACTGGTTGAATAAGCTGAAGAGGTGTATTATTAATTTCTGAAACACAGTCATTAACATGACGTTGGGCTGCATCTAGTACAAGGGCTTGCTCATAAATACCGTCCAGATCAAGAATTTTTTATTCTCTAAAAAGATGTTACCTTATCAGGGGGGTGAAGCGACACCGTTGATGAAAGCATCACGGAAGAATTCTTAACGATATTTTTCTACAGTCTATATCATCTTGAAGTTACGATCCTTTCTTATTTATTTTGAGTTCTTGTAAATATTTTTCTAGAGATTCGTTTAAGTTTTGTTTCCTATTAAGTAACAAATACCACCCTCTCCTAATATATATATATATATATATATATATATATATATATATATATATATATATATATATATATATATATATATATATATATATATATATATATATATATATATATATATATATATATATATATATATATATATATATATATATATATATATATATATATATATACTGTGTGTGTAGTGTGTATATGTTAATAATACTCACTTACCAAAGTCGCTTTGCATACTTTTCTTGCATGTTTCTCTTGAAAATTTTCCTTTCATATCTATTTTCAATCTCTTGAGCTTGCAAAGTGTTATCTATACTATTCCTAATTAACCGAGGTACCGATATACTGAAGTTAAGGTATTCCAGTATTTACCCATGGTTAAACAACAGAGACGTTCTAACGACGAAACGTTATTCCAAGACCTTTGTATGTTAATGTCGTCGTTGAACACTTTCTTAAATATTGTTCACGTTCATTGTAAGAAGATATTATGGAATCCATAAAACGCTGCGTGTCATAAGTTAAGATAATGCTACTTTTTATTAACCTATTATCAAAATACATTATCTCTACATATAGCGTCTTCTTCTATAATGCGTTCTTAAAAAAAACAAATATTGGGTGCGGATATACTCCCATTAGCAGCATAATAATAAATGCGATCTACGGCTATTGACTCGGTCAAAAACCGACTCATCTCTCTTCACTTTCCCAGTATTTTCGCTCGTCGGAAAATGTTATTACTTTAATCTCGCGTCGTTTAGTAATCCGAACCAGAAGTCTATATCGACATAGCTGTCGATAATTCCATGGGAATAAAGAAACAGATGCATTAATATTAAGAGAAATCTACTTTTATCTATTTATTAACATGTTTGAATCTTTTTCTTTCCACTCACTGTATCGGTTTTCCGTATTAAGGAGGTCGTTTGTTTCCTCAGCTTTTTGTTGTGTTTAATTCCGGTAATGACGAGAAGATATTTTTGCTTTAATTGTCTATTCATTTTATAAAATATATATATATATATATATATATATATATATATATATATATATATCGGGGTGGATATATTCTTTACCGTTTAATACTCGTGTTTCTTCTACAAGAGATACAAAGTCTCTTGTATTAATCAAGGTCTTGTGTTAATCTCTTCATAACGACAACCCATACTTGCCTGCATATAAATAATGTTAGAAAATTTATATGATTTATATTAATACCGTAATGGTTATAGTGATGAAATAATGGAAACATTTTTATGTGTTATATGAAAGAGGGTTAATTTTGTAGACTAGCATTTTTTTTTATATATATATATATATATATATATATATATATATATATATATATATATATATATATATATTATATGTATATTTATTTATTTTTTCTTAATCTTTACAGGGATATTCCAGTCAGGATATATTTGAAGAATATGAATTTAAAAAATAAATATGAGACTCCAGTGAGGATACACTTGAAGAATGTATATGCTACTCTCACCCTTGCTACCATAGCAGCCTCTGTTGGTGGCTATGCCCACATGTTCAGCACATTTATTAGTTCTGGATTCATGACTTTTCTGAGTGCCATTTGGGTATTAATATTACTCGTATTTACACCTTATGATGGCAAAAACCAGCTGCAGAGACTTTCTCTCCTTGGTATCTTTGCCTTCTTGACTGGCTGTAACCTTGGCCCATTTTTGAATCTGGCTGTGACTATCAACCTGCATTGGTAAGTGAATCTATTAAGGATACACATCGTCATTTTTTCATATAGTTATGTCATTAATATTTGAACGTTTAACTATATTTATATTGACTGACTTTTAATTTATTTATATATATATATTTTTTTTATAGGTTTTGCAAGCTCTGCTCGGCGCAAGTGTGATATTTGCTTGCTTCTCCCTATCAGCTCTCTATGCTCCTGATGGTCATTACCTCTATCTTAGAGGTACACTGATGTCGGTATTGTTAACCCTCATTTGGGTTTCGATATATAATATCTTCTTTGGCTCTCAACTCCTTTTTAAGGTAAGTCTAATAATGGAGATTGTCTTTTTTTATTATAAATCAATGAGTATTTATTATTCTGATAATTATTATTTCTATGCTTTTTATGTCTGTCTTTTTTTTTTTAGGCAAATTTGTACATTGGTCTAGCAGTCATGTGTGGTTTTATAGTCTATGACACTCAGTTCATTGTTGAGAGAGCACGCCGAGGAGATATGGACTATGTGATGCACAGTTTGAATCTATTCGTTGACTTTGTTGGAGTATTTTGGCGCCTTCTCATGATCCTTACAAATAAGGTAATTTCTTATAGTATAGAAAATGGTAAACATGTACAATCGCCTTATTACAAATATATGATAAGAGAAGAATTTGCTATGAGTCATATCCAGTAATTATAGACGTTCAACTAACGTTGTATTTTTTTTTTTTCAGGAGGCACAGAGCAAGAGGAAGAAAAAAAGCTGTAATAAATAAGGAAATATAACATATTACATTACATAATATTGTTTATCGGGTATTTGATATAATATTGCTTATCGAATACTTGTAAGGAATAAACCATAAGGTTATCATGATTTTTTTTAATAAATTTTTTGGCAAAATATTTTTTTTATTGACCAGACAAAAAGTATTGTTAATTCTGATTATTTTCATTGAAAAGAAACTTATTTTTGTTAGACATATCCAATAAGTTATTTTGAGACACAGGTGAAGCATTTATTTGAAGATCTACTTTACTGTCATTTTTACTGTTAATCATTTCAAATACATCTCTCTCTTTGTAAGTATTTGACTGATCATGGTCGGGAAGGTAGATGTGTTGATCATTCAATCGGAGAAACAATTCCTCCAGGAGAGAGTCAAAGGAGAGCATCTCCATATTTTTACTCAAGAGGTATATTAAGAAAAGATCGCCAATCTGTAACTTTTTCGAGACGTTTTGGTCCAAGACTTTCTTGTAGTGCAGCATACTCGCAGGCTTTTGGAATAGCAATGTCGACCTGATGACGGGAACGTAAAACATCAACAGACGATAGATAAACGCCGTTATACTAATGACAGTCAATACAATAAACCAAAACCACATTATAACATAAATCTTTTCGTTAATGATATTTAGGGCGAGCACACACATGAGATCGTGGATCTCAACTGTACCCGAAGGCCCATATGTATGAAAGGAACACTTGGTGACTCGCGGAAATATCACAATCATCGGGTCTGTTCGTTCTTCTTGATTGGTCTCCGTGAAGCTCAGTACGTCCGTCCCATACGTGAGAAACATCCCAAATAAAAGTTAATAACAACAAATTTGATCCATATCCTTTTGCTGGTTTGTCGATGTATATAATTTTTTGATACAAGCGAGCTTTTTTTTTATGTGAAGTCTTGGCGCGAGTGAATGTCTTTATACTGATAAAGGTTAAGAACAAATTTGATCGATATAGTTTTACTGGATTGTCAATGTTACATTTTCAAACAAGCGAGTTATGTGAGTTATACTGATACATGTTATTTAATGATAAATAAAAACAACAAATTTAATCCATATTCTTTTATTGGTTATTAATACTATTGTCACAAATGACCTCTGCATACACTGTGTGGCCGTGACAAGTTTATTATGCCTTTGTCTCAAACTTTCTAAAGCACAATTTCATGTATATAGTCTTGAATTTGTTTCTCCTTCATTTCCAAATCATGAATATGCTTCATCATCACCTCTTGTCGATTCTTCATCACTTCTAGTAATTTGCTATTGTGATTAGGACTGATACAAACATCATATTCCATGTCGTTAGACAATTCAAATTGAATTATTCGAGTGTCTGATTTGCCCTTGGAGTCTTCTTTGTTGGTCAGATGAGTGGGGTTGTTATTTTCTTCTTCTTCAGTAAGATCTATTATATTGAGATTAGGACATTTGACACTAGAGTACGACATCCTTATATAGATAGAACCTTAAAGGCGAATATGATAGTTGATAGCTTTGGTAGACGCTGTTGATGATGCTGATATTATAAAGCGTTTGCTCTGTATCTCATTCAACAGGATATGTACTCTCCTACAATGTTACGTTTTTTGCTTACACCCCCTCCTAAGAGAAGAATTTTTGTTGGTAGAGTCCGTAAGATGACCTTTCTCGTTCAACATATATATATATATATATATATATATATATATATATATATATATATATATATATATATATATATATATATATATATGCTCTCTCTTCGTATACTATTATGTTTTTACACTTAATCATCTTGGTGAAAATTGGAGGCAGGAAGAGAGATATATCGAGATATTTTTGTGGCTCATTATCGATTATCAAAGTTAGACAAGAATAATATTCTTTAGTCAAGGGAAGGGGGGGGGGGGGTTATGGTAATATAAGTATAGAAATATACAAGTATGATGTCTAGAATAGTAAACATATCAATATAAGAATGTATAATAACCTAAAATCACTTAGTTATAAACCCAATATAATAAAATGGACTCTCCTCGGGATATACCAAAATATAAGAAAAAAAATAACAATGATGCTATTGACGTTGAAAATATAAGGATTGTAGAAAATGTATATATAAAAATACTATAAAAGATACGATTGAATATGTCAATGAAACCGATTAAAGCTATCAGATAAATGATAATATGTGATTTTATTTATTTATATAATTCAATCCAATACTGTATTCTTTAACTCTTTCTTGACTATATTTGGAAGAAATGATAACAATATTGTATTATTCCTTTATACTTTTTAACACATATACACATATAAACATACATACATATATTGTATTATGGAAAATTAACTCTGGGATAATACATCTTCTCGAGTTGTCTTTTCCTTTTTATTTTTTCCTGATAAAATTTTTCGAATCCAGTAAATCCAGTCGGTATATTTTCTATTTATAAGTAACTCCGGAGGATGTGTTTTCTATTAAATACTTATCAGCAATATATTTCCATACGAAATTGAACCCACACTCAGTATACATTATAGGGATATCACGATTATTATAGTAATATTCATATACTTCATCATTGAAGCCTATAAGAAATGGTATAATATTACTAAATATTTTACGTGTTTTATGTTTATGATTGATTTCTTTTTTATCTTTTTGGTTTAACATGTATTTTATAAATAATTTTCTCTCGAGTCGGTTTTTGATACTAATGTGTTCTTTCAGTTTTCTGAGAACCGATACGGGCAATATGTCCGCCCGCGGAATCGTTCCAGAGCGCTTCTCTGTTAACGGAGACGACTCCAAAACAGAGCTGTTTCAGTGAGGACGGCTGCCGCCGTCTCCATGGCGACGCCATATTGGCATTGTCACCTCCTTCTATAGCATTGCACGCTAGCATGTTTTCAAAGATAAAGTCGCGATCTTCCACCTCCCACGTTTCGTCAACCCCCATACAACAATAGAGGGAAGAATGGTCGTAATTAGATACGATATGATCGAGGAAGCGCTGAACGCTGTAGGTTAGAGTGATGCTGCTCTGAAAGGGTCCTCCTCCTCCTCCTTCCTTCTTCCTCCTCCTCCTCCTTCTTCTTCACCATCACCATCACACCTCCTTCCCGTCATAGTCAGAGCTTCGCTTCCGTTGTCAAAATAAATGATCTCCGCATAGAGGGGTCTGGAACCGCGATGCGTTCGTAGGAGCATGCAGAAATCGAGCGTGTCTCTCCTGTCGAGAATGTAGTACACCAAATCCACCGATTTCGGGTCGATCGAAAAGTTGCGCAGTTCCTCGTCCGTCCAGAGCGAGCGTTCTTCGTCGGGAAAGGTCAGGGTGACAAACTCGCTTCGATGCTCGCGGATAAACTTGTCATTATATCTTCCATAACGTTTTAATATTTCGCGCGAATAATCATATTTTTCTTCAGGAAAATATAGATATCCATATGTTATTGTAACAAATCTCGTATTATGTATTCCCGAACAGTGATTCGATATAAATGTTAACATTGTTACTGTTAGTATCCTTTATAGGGCTTCAAGTGTTTGAATTGGTAAAAAGAGTTATTATTTTAAGGTTAAAATGTTTATCATACCCCCTCACTCAAAAAATTTCATCACTTGTATTTTCTTCTAAAAAAAAAAAAATCGAATCGACATTTTGGAAGAAATGTTTAGCATCATCAGAATAACTATCTACATCGAATTATTCACTATTGATTATTTCCACAGATGGAAAAGAAACATTGGGGTAAATTCCCATCTCGAATTTCCTTTTTATCTGTAAGAGTTTTTGATGATAATTCTCGAGATGTTTTTTTTTCGAAGGTTTGTAAGACTTGGAATATTTTTCAGCAATATATTTCCACACCATATTGTTGTTTTCAATAAAACTCCAACATAAATCATCATCATCTTCATTATCAAGTAAAATATTACCATCTGTATAATACTGGATACCGTAATATGGTATGATGTTAACAAAAATCTTGAATATCATTGATGTTGCTATATGTTCCGATGGACTATATATTGTTATCGATGCATTCTTTCGCATGTCCGTTAAAAACACTTGTCTCTCTTTTAGATTCAAGATATTCAGTTGCCTGTCAATCAATACGGGCAGGACTGCACGCTGGGAATCGCCCCAGAGCGCCTCTCTACGACCGGAGAGGATCCCGCGACACAGCAGTCCTAGCTGCGACGATTGGTGACACAGGCAGTTCAGCGCACTACAATTGTCGCTCCAGGATCTCCGTAATTTTGTGTTATCGTTGTTGATTGCGTGGTACACTAACATGTTTTCAAATATAAAATCGCGATCCTCCACCTTCCACTCCTCACCCCAGTCATAATAATACGCTTCTCTATGTTCGTTAGATGATAGCGTATTGATATAACTCTGAACGCTACAAGTCGGAGTATACACTTCTCTTTGTTCGTAACAAGCGACTACGGAATCGATAAAGTCCTGAACGCTATAAGTCAGGGCGATGCTGCTCTGATGCGCTGCTCTTTCGACGTTTGCATTGGCCGCGTTATCAAAGTAGAGAATCTCTGCGTAGAGCGGTTTGGACTTGTATTGCATCTGCAGAAGCAGGCAGAGATCGCAAGTGCCCCTCTTGCCGAGGGTGTAATACACGACGAGTTGTGCAGCTCCTCGTCTGTCCATAACTCTTTCTCGTGCTCGGGAAAGGTTAGGACTGCAAACTCGTTCCGCCGTCCGGGGATGAATGCTTCGAAGATGTTAATGTCAGTAAAACAGTCTAATTTAATATTAATATTAAATGGAAAACTTTTTCCACGGAAATACAAATACGAGTATTGTATCACTTCAACTCCCGATTTAGAAATATCCTTCATCTTAAAAACATGCGAGCTTGAACGAGTTGATGCTTAAATAATTAAATTGTGTAACACTCACCCTTAATTCCAGTCTAAAAAAAATATTCGTTTTTTATAATTATTAAATACCTTTATTTGTTACACTATCAATCGGACCACAGATGGAAAAGAAACAATGGGGATTCTCGAGATTTATATTTATTGAAGATTATCAATAGTCGTCATCGTTGACCACCACGGACAGGAAAGAAACGTTAGGATAAATTGTTGTCTCGAATTTCTTTTTCATCTCCAAGTTTTTTTGATGAAGGTGCCTGATAATAGGATTTCCCAAAAGTTTTTTAGAGATCATTACCCTCTCCATTTTCATAATATGGCACACCATAGAATGGTATAATGTTAACAAAGGCTTTATATATCATTGGTGTTTCAATATATGTTTGTAGGATGTGCGAATAAGAATAAACCATGCATTCTTTGCGAATGCATGTCTGCTATAAACGCTCTTCTCTCTTTTAGATTTACGATGCTTAGTTGCCTGCCGATCAATGCGGGCATGACCGCACGCTTGGAATCGCCCCAGAGCGCCTCTCTGTGAGAGGAGACGATCCCGCGGTACAGCTGTCCCAGCATCGGCGACTGGCGACACAGGCATTTCAGCGGCGGCGCACAACCGTTACCGCTCCAGGACCTTCGTAATTTGGCGTTAGCGTCGTTAGTATTATTATTATTATTATTGCCCCATACTATTGCGTGGTGCACTAGCATGTTTTCAAATATGAAATCGCGATCTTCCACCTCCCACTCCTCACTCCAACGATCAGAGTCAAGAATATACTCTTCTCTATATTCGTAACAAGACACCACGGAATCGATAAAGTCCTGAACACTATAGGTCAGGACGATGCTGCTCTGAAGCGCTGCTCTTTCGACGTTTGCATCGGCCGCGTTATCAAAG